AAACCCTGGGTCAGGAAGACCTTCTGGAGGAGGGCATGGCAACCCACTGCAGTTTTCTTGCCTGGAGAATCCCATGGACAGAGGAGCCTGGCAGTCCATGGTTCATGGGGTCGTAAAGAGTCAGACATAGCAAGCAACTTAGCATATGCACAGGCTGGAAAACCAATACACATAGTCCTGTTTGATGTTAACAAAAACTCTATGAAGCAAGTATTAAAATCACTCCCAACTTACAGATGAGGAAACTGAGGCTCATTGGGATAAATAACTTGGTTTTATGGCTAGTAAATTACAGAGGTAGAACTCGAGCCTGATTTTCTGACTCCAAAGCTTCAGAGTCCTTTCCACTAAAGCATACTCCTGGAAATTTAATTTTAAGTTATTCTTATTGAAAATACTCCAAAGTTTTTTATCAGAAGTTTGCTTGAAAACACTGTGGTTTCGGATTTTCTTTTTTTGGAAAGCTTACGAAAAGATTAAGAGTCTTAAGACTGATGCTATTTTTTAAAAGTCTCAGAGCTGAGAAAGAATATTATCAAACCCTGAAGTATTTGGTTAGGATGACAATCCTGTAGTATTAGTAAAAGTATTTGGCTAATGCCTTTAATAAACTTAATACTTATATAGGTGTTAGGGTTTTTTTAGAGGTTCTTTATTTTCTCCCATTTTCTAAAGATAATTTTTATTTTATTTTTAATATAATTTAAAATATAATATTTAAGCTATATTCAGTAAACTAGTGAAGCATAATATCCTTACTTAGATTATAAGTATAATTTTTAAATGGATTTAAGACTTATTTAAATAACTCTTAAGTATTCTATTTACATTCTTAAAAAATTATATTCTCCCATCTAATAATAACACAGGAAGATTGGCCTCATGACTATGACACAATGACTATGTTGAGTTTGTGTCTTCTCTTAAAATGAAGACAGTAAGTCAGTCTCTGGAGCACATCTGTAAGTCAGTGGGTATTAACCTTTGTCAAATGTTTATTTATTAGCATCTAATAAATAATCAGAAAATGGAAATGTTTTTCATAAAGTTTCCTCTTCATTCAAGTGAATTTACGCTAAAACTCCATAGATTTTTTCCCCCTAATTCCTTAGCAAATCACACTTAAATATTGTTCACTTAGGTGTTCATTCATTAGATAATATTGCTTTCCAGTATAGTTTCTAATGCCAGAGAACCAAAGCTATAGAGACAAAGAAAAAAATAAAATATAGTCCTGCGATAGCTTGTGTTTATTCTTTTTTTACCTGCAGTTAAATTGCATCAACTCAGATGGTATATTTGGTACCATAGTACATAGTATATTTGAATGGTATGGTATATTTGAATCCGTTACATACTCAAATGATATTATATGTCAGCTCGCTGAAGACTGAAAAGGTATTATACAATGTAAGGTGTTATTATTAGTGCTATTTTAGCACAAATTGAGTCACTTTATTGCCTGGCCCAGTTGTCTGTAGACTGAAGATAGATAAGATAAAAGAAATATAATTAAACGTTCAACCAGTCAACACATAGGAGTCCCTCTGATTTTACTTGTGAGGAAAAATTAAGGAATATTAACTTCTAAGCATTCTCAGTGTATGGATTTGAAGACATCATGGCTCACTCTGAAACATGATTCTCAAACTTGAATGAGCATCAGAATCACCTAGAAGGCTTATAAAAAATTTCCTGCATTGCTGGGGGATTCTTTACTGCTGAGCTACCAGGGAAGCCCAAGTGAATCTGTAGCCATCCCATTAATCAATGTATCTATAAAAGTAATAGTGTTAAAAGTTGCAGCTGCATTTGTAGCAGAATGAGAGAGAAAAGGAAAACAGGGAAAACCCTGTAATAAATGATTTCAGTAGTGGATCCAGCATCAGTGAAAGAGAAGCTTACACCGCCTGCTCTATCTGCACATTGTCTGAAGACTCACGAGAGTGAGTGTTGGAAGTGCCAGCCCTGCTCAAAGATAATGACTTGATAGCATCAGATTTGGAAACAGAAAAAAATAAAAACATTAACAGGAGGAAAGAAATACAATCGTTTCTTCCTCAAGGTAAAAGGGACACTTGAAGTAAGCTTTGAATGTCTTTAAGACACTGCATTTCATCCATATGTAACAGTCCGAGCCTTAAGTCTGATAAAGGTTAGCTTCATGGAGCATGGAGGGCACCACTAAGTGATCAATTGCTTTAACAGACAATCTGGCTTCTTGCACACACATCTGTCCTTGGGGCCGCCACCCTCCTTAGAACCCCTGTGGCCAGCTAGCCACTGCAAACTTCTCCTCTTTCTGTGGACAAGAAGCAGGAATACCCATACCTTTATGAAATTCTAAGCAGGATCAGGGATATCTCCTCTCATTCCTGAACCCATACAAACATAACAAAGTCACTATTAATATTCAGACACAACTTTTACCCTCACAGTAAAAAGTCATGCTTAGGGGGGAAGTTGGAGTCGTTGCAAGTGGGAAGACTCTGCCTGAAGTTAACCCTTAATCCTAAATGGGGTCTGTTTCAGTTAGTAATCTCATTCAGCTATGAATTACAGTGAGGGATTGAACATGCAGGTTTTATTCTGCTGAGTGATCAAGATGGTACAGAAAAAGCCGAGCAAACTTTTTTAGTCAACTCAATATCATATAAAAGGGATCCCATCACAGGCAGTCCTGAACCAGTGTGCTGACTTCATAGAACCATCAGAGATGCAGGCTCTGGCAAGCTATCTGATTTACCAATCCCACCTGCCTTGACATCAGGGGCCAGGTTGTACTGCTGAGGCTCCAGCGAATACAGGCACATTTCAGGCAGCTGATGGAGAAAAGGAAGAAAAAGGGCGTACCCCCGTCTTTTAAAGGAGACAGTTTATAAGCCCTACACAAAAGCCCCTCTTGCACCTAGCTTGAGGAAGCCTGGGAAATGATAACTGGGCAGCAAGGAGCATGGGTGAAAATTAAGGCTTCATCATTAAAGAGAGAGAAAAATATGGATATTGGGTTAGCTCATAGTAATTTTTGCCATCAAGTACCAGAAAATCAAAATTCCTACTTTCCACCACAGAAAGTGGTAAAGGCATAAAACATACCCACATTGGGACTTCCCAGGTGGCTCAGTGGTAAAGAATCCACCTGCCAATGCATGAGATAAAAGAGACGTGGGTTCGATCCCTGGGTCAGGAAGATCCCCTGGAGGCGGAAATGGCAAACCACTCCAGTATTCTTGCCTGGGAAATCCCACGGTTAGAGGACCCTGGCGGGCTATAGTCCATGGGTCTGTAGCAAAGAGTCAGACACAACTGAGCAACTGAACATGGCCACACACCCACACTACACACCCACCTCACAGCTGTGAGTCTCACACTTTTGGAACATAAGTGCTCCTTAGAGTACTTGCTGAAATTCAGATGCTGGCACCCAGGAGACTCTTAAGTTCGCCCTCTGATTTGGTTATTGTGATTCAAGAGGTACCAAGGACCACACTTGGAGAAACCCTGCCTTCCAGCCCCTTACCATTTGTCAGCTATCTGTCCACTACTGCCTGGAATCTTATTGACCATCCCTTGATAACAAATTCTGTTCTGTTCCCTTTTAACTCTTTTATTCTCTAGAATTAGCTCTTACAAATAGGTTGGACAGACTCCCCCAAATATTTCATCCAACAGTGCAGCCAAGTTGGAAGGATGTTAACGGATGGGTTTTTAACAATGCAAAACCCCTCTTCAAAGGCAAGTGGTAAAAGTCTCCCCCCAGAAGGAGTTAAGCTGGGTCCCAAAGTGGAGGGGCAAGGCCATGCCTTTGGGTGACTCTAGAGGCTGGAAGCAGTTGGATCAGGCACGGTAGTCAATCTAACTGTGAGTGATTAATAGCCAAGCATGATCTCTAGAGCTTTATTTCCCAGTCCCTGCTCAGCTTCCTGTTTAACACTCAGGTAAATGTCAAAAATGGACCTAGGGATTATAGCTGACAAGGGGTAAGTGCTTTCATGTTGTCCTCCAAAGGTTAAGGTTTCCCAGACTCAGTGGGAAGCCCCCAATCTCCAATAACCATTAATCCACTCTTCCCGGGTAGGAGTGAGCATATTTATGACTGCAGTCACTAAAGGGTGAAATAAAGATTAGTTTTTAGTTAGGAACGCAAAGCTTTTGAGATCAATACAAACTCACTGCTGAAATCAATCTAAAGTTTGGAATTTTTAAGTAAAGATTTACTGGGCTTCCTTGTACAGTTAATTTTCCAAATGGGGAATAAGCTCAGAAATGTAACATAGTAATCAAATTGAGTAAACACTAGTCGTTGGTAACCTAACCTGGGTCATGCACATGTCAGATGAGTGTGTAAAGCAATAAAAATGCCCATAACATGGATTGTAAATTTGCCAATAAACAGGTAAAACCAAAATACACATAGAGATTTACATGATCAAAATACTGGCAGCTACATTTGCTGATTTGAAAGCATAAATAATCAATAGACATTAATAATGAAGTTATTCGTGCATTTCCCTATTACTGTGCATATTAAGTGTTTCAATTATTTCTACTTAGTTTGATAGATAAATGTATAGCCATATTTTATGAAAGCCTTCAAAAAGGATATAGAATTGTTCTTGAAAACAAAAGCTACTGTTTGCATGAAAGAGCAAGTGGACCGGAAAGACATAGCTTGTTATACTCTGCTGTTCATGTTTGATGCATGTATACAATTTATTATGAAATTTCTTGAGATTTGACAAAGTAATTGTCTGGCAAACCATAGCTTTAATGATTTTTTTTTCTGTTTCATAGGAAAAGACTATAGGTGTTTTAGGAAACTGCTTTAATAGATCAGTGTCTATCAGTAGTTTTTGCCTTGTTATATATACATGTAGGTTGTGGATAGCCACGGATATTTTAAGAGGAGTGTGATTCCATGTAGTAAATTCATTTTCTTCAGCAGAGTAAGTGCATGAAAGCTTACAGTAAGCTATAACTTCAGAAATTATTTAAGTTACCCTTGGGCCTTCATAGGAGAACTGCGTATCTTCTCAGTAGGGTATCTGGGAGAGCAAACCGCAGAACATCTCCAATGTGAAGGGGATTCTGGGAGACAGGCACCAGCTTCCATTCATTTCTGACCATGCTATTGTGATAACTGCAGGTTGATGTCGCACAGTGGTCAGAGGGTAGAATGTTCAACTACTGCTGATCTAGCTGATGTAGCTGATCTACTGCTCAGACTCATTTGCCACCATTTGCTGCCTGGATGCCAGAGAAGTGCCCTGACAGCCCTTTGCCTAAAGCACATGCTTTCCATTCAGTGCCTGCTCAGGGGTGGAATTGGACCAGAATTTGAAGACTAGGAACTGATGTTGTCCCCTTTGAAACATTTACAGAGGAGAACAAAGTTTTGCTTCCTGTTAGCATCTGCCACCTGATGCTCTACTTTTGGGAATTATACAAAGCCACTGAGCAAACAAGTACATGTATTCTTAAGTAGTAAAACCCACATAGGTGTCATTGTTTTTGTTGTTGCCAAGTCGCTAGGTTGTGTCTGATTCTTTGTGACCCCATGGACTGTAGCCTGACATGTTCCTTTGTCCGTGGGGATTCTCCAGGCAAGAATACTGGAGTGGGTTGCCATTTTCCTCTCCAGGGGATCTTCCGACCCAGGAATTGAACCTACATCTCATGTACTGGCAGGTGAATAGCTCACCAGGGAAGCCCCACGTAGGTCATGGGACACAGGCAATATTTCCTTCTCTTCTATGGCTATTACTTTGGTCCTGAAATAATGCTTTAATAGATTATTCACTCTAAGGATGGGTCCAGTAGTTCTTAAGTTTTACAAAGTGTATATACAGAGTAATTAGATATATTATATATGTATATCTGGGCTTCTCTGGTGCCTCAGACAGTAAAGAATCTTCCTGCAATGCAGGATACCCAGGTTCGATTCCTGTGTCAGGAAGATCACCCAGAGAAGAGAATGGCTACCCACTCCAGTATTCTTGCCTGAAGAACTCCATGGACAGCAAAGCCTGGCAGGCTTCAGTCCATGGGGTCACAAAGAGTTGGACATGGCTGAGCAACTAGTACTTTCACTTTCATATATATATATACCTATGTGTATAGATGTGTATGTATATAAATAGTAACATGTGTACATGATTACATATATGTGTGCACATACATATGTACATGCATTAGTTCAATTCAGTTCAGTTCAGTCGCTCAGTCATGTCCGACTCTTTGCGACCCCATGAACTGCAGCACGCCAGGCCTCCCTGTCCATCAGCAACTCCTGGAATCCACCCAAACCCATGTCCATTGAGTCGGTGATGCCATCCAACCATCTTATCCTCTGTCGTCCCCTTCTCCTCCTGCCCTCAATCTTTCCCAGCATCAGGGTCTTTTCAAATGAGTCAGCTCTTCACATCAGGTGGCCAAAGTATTGGAGTTTCAGTTTTATGCATGCATACATACAAAATTGCCATGTCTACCTTGGAATAGAGAACTTGGCCACTGAAATTATTGTTCAGATGTTTTGATCAGCAATATATTATTTTCCAAAATAATCTGGCAGTTTTAAAATCACTTTAATGAAATGCATTTTTATTAGGAGATTCATTTAGCACAAATACACTGTCAGATTCTGTCACTGGAATAAAGAATTGGGGGTGGAGGTTGGTAAACAGTGATCGTGGCTCTGTATGATTTCAATAAAAGTCAGGTTAGGTGGTAAGATACCAGAAAAGTTTCTAAGTGTCTGCAGATTCAGAGCCATATTGATAAGTGATAATGTGCTTAAATGATCAAATTGTCATACAGTGCCAGTTCTTCCATTGTACAAACCTCAATGCATTTGTTCTGAGGAGATAATATATGAGTGCAGATGTCCCCTTCCACTTAGCAATAAACGTTTTGTTGATGAACGAATGAATGAATGACTGATGAATCCACAATCGAATTCAAAAGCAAAACTGGAATAAACAAGTCCAAGTCTCCTAGCTCTGGTGGTGACAAGTCAATTGCCTGAGTGGCTCCAGGCAGCAAATTGAGCCCTTGGAAGCCACGGGATTCTTCTAGGTCAGTAGGGAAGGGGCTGTACAAACAGAAGGAAACTCTAAGAGGTTCAGCTCTTCATTTCACAGAAGAAGATTCCTGAAATACAAAAGATCTAAAATGAAATCTAGGGACTTCCCTACAGGTCCAGTGGTTAAGATTCCAGGCTTTCAATGCAGGGGGCACAGGTTTGATCCCTGATCAGGGAATGAAGGTCCCACATGTTGCATGGTGCGAGCAAATAAAATAAATAATAAAAAAGTTTTTATAATAAATAAGAGGAAATCTAAATTCAGTTCTGCATCTCTGTGCATCAGAGACATCCACCTACTCCCACAGCCCCTTCTAACAGGCTAGGCAGGACCCTCAAAGAAGTAAATGTGGGGTACACACAGGAGCAGATACACATTCTCTGGTGCATAAAATTATAAATTTTAAAGAGCTATCAATACCACAAACATAAATAATCCACCAAAATCACATTTTTGTTGCTGTTCGGTAGCACAGTATTGTCCAACTGTGACCCCATGGACTGCAGCTGATGCTGGGAAAGATTGAGGGCAGGAGGAGAAGAGGGGTGACAGAGGATGAGATGGTTGGATGGCATCACCGACTCAATGGACATGAGTTTGCGCAAGCTCTGGGAGACAGTGAAGGGACAGGGAAAAGACACAACTGTGCTATCAAACAGCAACAAAAATGTGATTTTGGTGGATTATTTATGGTTGTGGTATTGATAGCTCTTTAAAATTTATAATTTTATGCACCAGAGAATGTGTATCTGCTCCTGTGTGTACCCCACATTTACTTCTTTGAGGGTCCTGCCTCGCCTGTTAGAAGGAGCTGTGGAAGTAGGTGGATTTCTCTGATGCACAGAAATGCAGAACTGAATTTAGATTTCCTCTTATTTATTATCAAAACTTTTTTATTATTTATTTTGTTTGCTCGCACCATGCAGCAAGTAGGATCTTAACACCCTGATTAGGAATCAAACCTGCACTCCCTGCCTTGGAAGCCTGGAGTCTTAACTACTAGACCTGTAGGAAAGTCCCTAGATTTCATTTTAGATTTTTTGTATTTCAGGAATCTTCTTCTGTGAAATGAAGAGCTGAACCTCTTAGAGTTTCCTTCTGTTTGTACAGCCCCTTCCCTACTGACTTAGAAGAATCCCGTGGCTTCCAAGGGCTCAATTTGCTACCTGGAGCCACTCAGGCAATTGACTTGTCACCACCAGAGCTAGGAGACTTGGACTTGTTTATTCCAGTCTTTCTTTCATCATGATTGATCAACATTTATTTTTTTATTTTTATTTTTTTAGTGTGGAAAATTTCTTTGAGCTTCCCAACTGTTATGTATGGGTAATATGACATATTTGGAAGAAATTCTATAAGTTCGTTCATATATGAGCTGTAAGATTTCAAGTTTTCTTGTGCAGAAAACCATTTAAATTTCATCCCCCACCCCCATTCCTCAGGGACTGTTGCAATAGTACACATTCATATGACAATATAACTTCCAATCCTACACTTTCTTATCTCTATTTTGTATGAGTCAGAATGGTGGGAAGTCAGAATATTTCTGGAGGTCATGGGGTGAGTATGGCTGGCAACAGTTTAACTCTGCCTCGAGGTACAGACAATCCCTGACTTGTGCTGTTTCGACTTACAATTTTTCAACCTTACAGTGATACAAAAGCAATATGCATTCAGGAGAAAGCTTATTTCAAATTTTGAATTTTCATCTTTTTCTAGACTAGTGCTATTTGGTAAGATACTCTCTGATGACGCTGGGCAAAGGCAGAGAGCTGTAGCTCCCAGTCAACCAGGTAACCATGAGGGTAAACAACCAACACACTTAGAACCATTCTGGTTCCCAATGACTGTTCTGGTTTTTACTTTCAGCACAGCATTCAAAACATTACATGAAAATCAATGCCTTATTATAACATAGGCTTTATGTTAAATGATTTTGCCCAACTGTTGACTTACGTAAGTGTTCCAAACACGGTTAAGGTAGACCAACCTAAGTTGTGATATGAGGTAGGTTTGGTGTATTAAATGTATTTTCGACTTATGGTATTTTCAATTTACAGTGGATTTATTGGGACATAGCCCCACTGTAAGTGGAGGAAGTTCTGTAATTGTGAACACATAAATACATCCTTCTACCTCAATCCGCACTAAATTCCTGGATCACCTTCTCTTTCATCACCTCTCAAAAGTAAATATTCTTGGTCCCTTCAACACCATCTGACACGAGCAAAAGCCAACATGGAAATAGCAAACAACTAATGACTACAATTAATTTTAAATTTGTTTATTTTTTTAATTGAAGCATAATTGCTTTGGTTTGTGTTGGTTTCTGCCAAACATCAACAATGACTGCAATTAAAATGTCTTATTTTTGCAAATGTTACACATTTCAAGTGCCCCTCCCAGAGACTTGGAAAGGGCCTGTGTAAGTGAGGGCCCTTCCAACTACAGGCTTCTCTGATTACTGAATTGGGGAAGATGCCTCATAGCTAAGTTGAGGGGCCCATCCCTCTAGCTTATTTCAAGAAATTTACCCAGGTTCTGAAATTTACCCATAAATTTCAAGAAATTTATGAACTGAGAGCCGATTTCCTATGACTCAATCAGTAAGTTCAGGAAATAGAGATTCAGAATTCACAGTTTAGAGCTAAAGAGGAAGTTAGCAATTGCATATTCCCCTCTCCACTCCATAGATAATCAAACTAAAATCCAAGAGAAGTTAATAGGGAATAGATTTATTTCTCAGCTTTCTTGTGAATTAATTATTTGGGATTCACCAAACTGATATTGAGTGTTTTCTGTGTACAAGGCATTCTCCCACCAAATTCTCATGAGATTTAAATTTATGGGATAGATAAATACAAATAGATAAATTTAAGTTTAAATTTATGGGATATTTATGGGATAGATGAATCTCATTTACCTAGGCAAAAACTGAGCTCTCAGAGAAATTAAGTTTCTTGACTTTTAAACAATTAGTAAATTGTATCATTGAAATTTTAACCTAAGCA